AATAATTACCTATACTATTTTGGCTGAGCCTTTGTCGTAGCATCTTGCTTGCTGGATTGGGGTCAGATTTGTTTTGTGCAGGGGAGGCGTATTGCAGTTTTAGTATGTGTCCTTGCAATTAATGAGACCACTGGTATTGTGAGTATGAAGGCTGTCTTTTAGAGTTCTTTATGTTCTGAAACTTTCATTCCCTACATCCCGGGAGGGCTCTGGGCTTGCGTGATAGACTTCAAGAATGGGCTAGGCCCTTCCGAGGAGCATAATTGATTGCAGCTGACAAAGAGTTTAGGTTTCAGGTTTCTAGTAGTTACCCTAAGCCCTAAACCCTANNAGGGTTTAGGGTTTAGGTGTTGGTTTCAGGCTTGAGGGTTCAGGGTGCAGGCTGCGGATAGCCGGCCAGGGCAGTAAATGCCTGTAAGTGCTTCTGGCTCATCCGAGGCGATGCTCTACCTGGCGAGCATGTCCAGCCAGCTGCCCTTCGAGCTTCTCGGTCTGGAAGGTTTCGGGTTGGGCCATGTAGGGTTGCTTCTTCGGCTTCAAAGGAAGAAGAAAGTGCAGCGGTAGTGGCCCCTGCGGGCAGCTTCACGAACATCGGGGACAAAGCTTAGGACACCAGCAAACATGAAATGTTTCGAGCCCATCAGTAAGAGCATGGGACGCTGGGCTTTGCGAGGAAGGGTGCTGGATTTTGGGCTGAGGACGAATACAGGCATATAGGGTCGGAATAGTTGGTAACAGTATTCCCTCATAGTCCCTAAGCTTACTTGTAGTATATCATCCGGCAAACCCCTGTTCTAAGTTCCAAGGCCCCTGTAGAAGGGGTGCGCCAACCCCAAAACCCTGAAACCACAACTCTAAACCCTGTAGGGTTTGTTTGAAGCTCAGTTGAGAGTTTCCGAAACTAAGGGTTACNNCCCCTATTTTCGGAAATCCCCAATTGTGTCTCAGATCCCTGAGCAGTCTTCAGAGGCTTTGTCAGCAGTTCTTTCGGCTGGAGCACCAGGGCCGAAACGGGGGGAGGGCTATAGGGCTGGAGGGTTGAGGGCTACGGGCTTGGTGGTTTAAGGGTTTATTGTCTAGTGTTTGGGGTTTAGGGTTTA